GTTTCTACAGCCAAAGTCACGTCTTCTCATCAAATTTGGGCTTTCCTGTGCGTCTGGAGGTGGCGGACTGTCCTCCGGAGTGACTGCATTAGTTTGGTTCGAATTTGCTTGTCTCTCCAACTGATGCCGATTAGCCAGGCTTCTTTCTCACAGAAACAGCCAAGGTGTGGGAGGACAGATGGAAATGTGCAGTTCCCTTTACTAGTGTCAGTGTTTATTGATATTTACTTTTTATTGACCTAATTAGATAAATAGATTGATAGATACTATAGATATAAAGACAGCTATCTATACAAATAGAAATTCAGGTCCAGATGATAGAATACGTCCTGCTTCTTGATAGACGAATATCCAGAGTTCCATGACAAAGGAAAAAGAATTGGCTACACTGCCATCTGTCTTCCACAAGTGAAAAAAAAATTATTCAATTTTTTTGACATATAATCTACCACTTATGGTTTCAATTTAAATGCCACCTTATGTTGTCTTAACTAGCATTCTCTACTTTCATACCCAGGATTTAATGTCCATTGCAATGCCCACAAATAAACTGGAAGTACAATATTCATGAATAAAGGATTGATTAAGGAAATAAACCAGTTGCAATCGAAGCGAGAAATGCTCAGGGCACAGGTGTTCACTAGGACATGTTGCAAAGTTATTTTAGGATGGCAGCAACAATGAGCTCAACCAAAAGAACAACTGTGAGGACAGCCCAAGACCAGGAAGTGTGTTCTTCTGTTGTGCTTATAGGATTGCTACTAGTCAGAACCAGCTTGCTGGCACCTCACCACCGCCACAACAAATGCCCACAGGGTGAACCCTTTCATGGTAAGCCTCCATCTGAAAGCATTCAGTTCAAGCTCCAGAGACCAGCAAGCCACATGCCCCGATTTGAGTGCCCAGGGGCACTGCCCTCCACAGCCAGCCTCCTGCCCGCAAAGCACTGTGTTGTGCTTACTCCGTGGGTTGGGAAGTCCACCACTCAGTTTCATGTTCCATCTCCTGACTCTGCTGCTGTGGCGACTCCTCTGATCTTGTTCAAGTTCATAATAAACATTTATAATGCCTCTAAATTAGTGTTTATTTGATGTAATATTATTTCTAGATTTCAACTAAAATAAATTAACAATCCCATTTCTAGTCTTACGCTATTGTAGATAGGGATGGTGAGACTAAATCAGATCTTAAATGAAGTGCATCTTATTTTTTTTTAAAATACATCTTGAATGAAAGAAAATCACATTTTAAATAAAGGAGCCATTTAAGAAATGACAAGATTTATTTAAAAGTATGTTTCTGTCCCACCTTAAAAATACATAAAAATTAATTATTTCTATGGTCCATAATTTGTTAAATAGAAATATTACTTTAAATTGAAATCTCACTAATTTGCAACACTAGGCTCTTTCTGAACACTTATTCCACATATTTATTGTGAGTGAATGAGTGGTTCCTGGCCAGAATAATATTAAAATAGACACACATATTAAAAATTCGTCCATTTTAAAGATAAGACTTGCAAATACTATTTTAATAAGGCTTATTTCTGGTAGATTATATGTCAAAGTAGACTTGGTATAGAAAAGACAAGAAGTTATATAAGCATGCATATGTTTATATACAATTGCATAGATAATGATATATATATATATATATATATATACAACTATAGGTGTATATTTATATAAATATATAAATTGTGTATATATATTTATTTATAAATATACACCTATAATTGTATATACACACATGCATTTTCCAATAGTGCACTTTGTTTAAAAATAAATTATCTCACTTTCAAGTGAGAAAGGCTAGCGGGTAAGATGACAAACACCACTGTATCCAAGTACCTGGATCTCTTAGTCAGTGGTTCTTAACGGGTTGTCTCCAGGCAAGGAACATCAATACCACCTGACAAGTTGATAGGCACCTACTTTACAGACTTCACCAAATCTTCATGACTTTGAAACTCTATAACTGATGCCCAATAAGCTGTCTCGTAACAAAACGTCCCGTCATTCTGACACCCACTACAGGTGGAGAAGTACGGCTCTCGATACTCCTTACAACGGAGCAACTGCTGGAAACCACATCCCACTGTGCCAAGGCAGGTGATCTCAGCCAAGACTGCATATTTCCTAGCAGGTAGCACTCACTCATAATGATAGGACCAGTTGGCCAAATGTGAAACATACCATGGACTGCTATAGGGTAAACAGCTCTGTCTTGGAAAAAGTACAGCCAGAGTGCTCCTTAGAGACAAGGATTGCAAGGCTTGTCTTATATACTTGGGAGAGGCTGTCAAGAGAGACCAGTCCCTAGGACACCAGTGAAGCAGAGGAAGGCCTTCAGGAAGTGGACTCACACGGGAGCTGTAAGCTGCAACGATGGGCTCAGGCAAAGGAACAATTGTGAGGATGGCGCAGGACTGGGAAGTGTTTCGTTCCGTTGGGCACAGGGTCACTATGGGTCAAAACAGACCCACTGGCACCCAGCAACACAAAAACCATCTGTAGATTGTGGGACAAAAGTTTAAGCAGTTTTACTAACCCAAAGGTTCTTCACCAAACCCACAATTCAAACACATTATTTTCTCTACAGTCTTCCTTATTCAATAGCTAAGTTTCACATGCGCACGAGGCAACTGAAAACACTCGGCTTGGGCCAAGCACGCCTTAGTTTTCACAGTAACAGCCCTGCTGTTCTATAGGGCAAAGAGGTCTTGTGCAAAAGCTTTACCGAATGCTACGTGGGTGCTGAGCTTGGACAGCTGCTTCTGTGAGCACTGGCTGTGGATCCAAGCAAGAGTAAACCCTCGACAACCTCCACCTTGTCTCCATTCATCATGATGTTACCTGTTGGTCCAGTTGTGAGGATTTGTCTTATAAGAGATAACTAAAGGGATGGATAAACCAATATTTTGCAACTAATTTTGATATTAAAGATAATTTTGAATGATTTTTTTCTTCTATCATTTTGCCTTTAGAAAAACACACATCTACATCATTTTTCAAAATGCATCTCCTTACTTTACACCAAATGCTTTATTTTGCCCCCCGCCCCTGCCACCATTGTATATTTTAATGCTCATGGTTGTTAGGTGCTATCAAGTCAGTTTGGGCTTGGAGTCGCCCCATGTGACTGAGCAGAACTTCCTCCTGAGGTTTTCCAGACTGTCATTTCCATAGGGGAAAACGGCCAGGCATTTTCCCACAGGGCCGCTGAGAGGGCTGGACCCACCCAGTCTCTGGTTAGCAGCCAATCACTTAATCACAGCGCCACTAGACAGTCTCATCTTTTTACATTCTCATCTTTCAAGCCTCAATACTAGACTCCCTAAAAGGTTTCTCTGATCTCAAATGAACGCCTCCCTGTGCTTCTCTAATCCTTTGTGAACATCTTCTATTCATCAATAACCCTGAGCAGCTAGTGTTTGTACACTTATTCAGCTGCCTATTAAGCTGCAAACATCATTAAGCTAAAAAAGTATACAACTACAGGCAAGTGCCTACAGTAGAGCTTGGTCTAGCATAGTGTGGTCCAACATACATTCATTAATTAAGTTAATAGCTATCAATTCATTCTGTTAAAATGGATTGTTCTGCATCTCAATTTTTTAAAAGCAAGCTAAGGTTTCTGATAAATGAAAGGCAAATATGAAGCCTGAAAAAAAAGGTGCTATGTAAGGGTGAGTGTGGGTGTAAAACGGAGCCCTGGGGATGCAGTGGTTAAGTGCTCAGCTGCTAATTGAAAAGTTGGCAGTTTAAACCACACCCCCCACCCCTCCCACCAATCTGTAGGAGAAAGCTGTGGCAGCCTGCTTCCAAAAAGATGAGCTTCATTCCACTGGAAACCATCGGAGGCAGTTTTTCTCTGTCCTATGGGGTCACTATCAGTCTAGGAATCACTATGGCTTGACAGCAATAAGTTTTATTGATTTTGTAGAGAAAATGACTCGTTGTGAAACTGGGATAAAAGGACCATGGGAAAAAGGCTAAGACGCACACAAAGATGAACGTGCATCGTATTAATTTCTCCAAGTGAAGTGGCTCCCTATCTTGTGCACAGTAAACATTGGAGCTGAATTTATTTAACAGAGATTAGCAAACTTTCTGGGGGAAGGACCAGATAATAAAAAAGTTAGGATTTTCATCCCATTCTACCTGTCACCACTATGGTATAAAAATACCAACATGTAATATGCAAATGAATGATGCTGGCTGTGTTCCAATAAAACTGAATTCACAAAAACAAGCAGTCTGTTAGTTCATTCCAAGACTGGTTTTCTGAACCCTGGCTCTACAGAATATTTTGTCCATAGACATAAAGGGGAAAGTGAATATGTACACAAATCCGTCTTTTAGACAATAAACATTAAGTAAATGTCATAGTGCTTAAAACCTTTCCATCCAAGGAAATCCAAAAATTTATGGGAGAAGAAAAGGGTTTCCAAGATATCATCTTCTGTACAGTTTAGTGACTTGTTATATAAACCTTTCTAGTGTGTTTTTCTTCCCACAGTCTTTTATTTACTTGAGATGGAAGGAAATAAATAGCCATGAGTCCCCAAAAGAAAACAGAAAATTTTTGCTAAAAGACCATCAGCAGATTACACTGAAGAACGGATACACCGATGTTTTCAAGGGCAGAAAGATTTACCTTGCCAGGAAATCTGGGAAGGAAAGGCGAACCGGGTATCCATGCCGAATGATCTTCACCATTTCTAGGACACCAATATACTGTAGTTGAGCGGACACGTAAAAGTTATCAAAAGTATCTGGCAGCTTTGAGTTATTGGGCTTGATGCAATGAATAAAGTGTGGAGTGCACTTCTGAAGTTTTCCAATAATATCCGTTAGCGATTTCTAAGGAGAGAAGCAATGCCCAAGTGATTATCCAAAGGAGACATGAACAGCAAATATAAATCAGTGTTTCAATTAAAAAAATAAAATGATCTTCAACACGTGACCCTTTCATCCTGACAGAATGGGAGAAGAATGCAGAACCGAACTCAAATTCCCAAAACGTTTAGCATTACGGCTGGCTGACATTGGAAGGGCCCCCCGAGACGATGCAGTACTCAGTCACTGGTTCTGTGTGTCCTTCTACAAGGAACTGTGTTTTCCTCTACAAGGAACTTTGGTGGGCTACAAAACTGAGAAATAGGATTCTATGCAAACCCTTTGCAATGTATCGGATCATATTCCAAGTTTGTGAAATCTGAAACTCACGAACCCTGAGTTGTGAAGCCGCAGACACGGGCCCTCCCCTGTCCAGCTTTTGAAGAAATGCAGACGTTCCTTTCTTTTTTAATAACTACAACGGAAGCAGAAAGAACAAAACAAGTGAGTGCTTTTAATAAATCCCACATTGAACTCTTTCATTCATATAAAGATACTAGGAGGTATATATGAACTGAACATGTAGTTTTTGGTTTTGTTTCATGACTTGTAGCACATCAGTAGCAGATGGATTTCTGTGATGGAATTGTAAATTTGGGAAAAGATCAACTACACGTAAAGAAGCTATCCATTCAAGTTCACTGCTGTTGTATAGATCAGCTCGAACAACACCCTGCACACATTTCAATTTGATAATAAACAGGAGCATAAATTCTCATTTCCTTTGTGGTACAAAGAGCTCACTCTGTATTACTAATTGTCCACATTTATCATGAAATACAGTTTGCTCTGAAGCACAAGGATACCATTTTATGTTACAGTGATTTGATGTTTTCACTTTTGTTTCTCTTAAGTGTAAGGACAATCAGTAATTGGATGGATATGCGATTTGATATTTTTATAAACACTTTTCTTTCCTTTATATTCTTTTCCTAAAGTTCTAAAAGGGGCTAGTAAATTACCTGTCTATAAAAAATGAGAGTAAATTATATTTTTAAGTAAGTATTACAGCATTCTCAATAGAAAAAACATTTATGGCAAAGACCAAATAATAATGTAAATAAAAGTCAGTGAAACATACAACTTTCCTCTAGTTCTTTAATGCTTCCTCCCCTACACTATCATGATCCCAATTCTACCTTACAAATCCAGCTAGACCAGAGGATGTACACTGGTACACATCAGAGCTGGAAACACAGGGAATCCAGGACAGGTAAATCCCTCAGGACCAATAATGAGAGTAGTGATACCAGAATGGGAAGGGTAAGGTGGGGGAGAAGGGGAGAACCAATCGCAAGAATCTACATATAACCCCCTCCCTGGGGGACAGGCAACAGAAAAGTGGGTGAAGGGAGACATTGGACAGTGTAAGACATGGAAAAATAATAACAATTTATAAATAATCAAGGGTTCATGAGGGAGGGAGGGGAAAAATGAGCTGATATCAAGAGTTCAAGTAGAAAGAAAATGTTTGAGAATGGTGATGGCAACACATGTACAAATGTGCTTGACACAATGGATGGATGGATGGATAGTGACAAGAAAAAAATAGAAAGTAAGGACCAATGGTAAAGATAAAGGGAGGCGGGTAATGAATTAGATTCCACAATAGTTAAAATGAACTTCAACCACCAATATAACACTGTCTTTCACAAAATCACACAGACTTAGCCCTACATACTACTTGAGCTAACATAATTTATCTTTCAATTAAAAAGGTCTTGTTATAAGAAAAATACCTGATGAACCCTTCTGGCCAATGTGGTGCCATTGCTATGATGACAACAGCCCCTTTCCTTCCCTTAGATACACTGTTAAGCTGAAATGATTGATGATCCCTGACAAGGGAATGCAAAAGCAAGGGAGTGGTGGGAGATGAACCTGTTTTCCACCAACAGAATGCAGTATGATGCCCAGTTAAAGGTTGGATAAAATCTTAATCCTTTCTGGGTCACAAGGGTGAATGCTGAGAAATGAGGTGGCTTGAAGGGAAGAAGCAAGAGAAGTGAAGACTTAATTCATAATCATAATAAATAAACCTCCATCACTTGGAGGGGAACGTTCAATTTCACTTCTGAGATGAGGGAGGGACTGAATTACCTCCCCTTTGCAGTCCTTTAGGGAAAAGGCTAATGGCATCCATGTCTCATAATGTTTAATAATTAAGGTAAAAAATTATGGTGTAGAGGTGTGTGGCGATATTCTTGCTTTTGATTGCCAGAGGATTGAGCTGGGAAGAGCTGAGAGTTACAGTGAAATTCCCAGGAATAAAGATCTTCCTTATAAAAGGAGATCATGCATCTTGTGTTATGTAAAAGGTGTCCTCTTCTATGTAGTGAAATTGAGTTCCCAATTAATCAATCAACTGATTCCTTACACGTACACATAGGTACAATTTGCTTATATGTTAGTCAAAGTTCTGCTATTCTTCAAAAACAGAGCTGATTACAATTATGCTTTCATTGTAATTGGTAGGCTAAAATGCATCCCAGCAGGGTATAGCAACTGAAATTTCTAAAATGGATTGTCCTGTCACCTTCCCAATTATATTTCTTATCTTTTATAATTCTGGCAGAAGGAAGCAAAGCCAACCAAGATACAATCAGGCAATGAAATCTTAAGAAAACTAACGGACTTCATACATATTCACCATCAGTTTGAATCGATTCTTTTCTTAGTGTTTAGTTCCTTTTTACAAATAGCAAGAACCACTGGGTTGTATACCCAGTTCAATTTGTATAGGGCAAATGCATTTTAAAAATTAGTATACTCCAGAAAGAAGATAAAGAGCTATGAGATGTACATGAAAACATTCTAATATCTGAAAAACATGTCTGTGTAGAACATACACACACCCCTACAATTTATCATTTAGAGACCTAAAACCTCTGAAGCGACGAATGTCACCATAATGAGGAGGTTACCTTTATTCTAGCTAAGCCGACTGCCCCTGGAGTTACTTCCCATTGCTCAACAAGACAGTGGTATAGAGGAAACATAAATAGAATGCTGCACAGACAGCCAATAAAATGACGCATGTTGTATCCTATTGGATTTTGACTGTCCTGTACAGTGCTATAGGATTCGCTTCTCCGGTGTTTGTACTGCAGGGAGGCAGCCTACGTTTCCTTGCTTTTCCTTTGCAATAAGAATGTCATCTCCTTTTATTTAGCATCCAAAATGGTGCTTTTTCTAAAGAAGAAAGAACTGTACAAAACCACATGAAAAGTAATGCAACAAGAACCACAAAAAATTCCTACCTTACTGAGGTCAAGACAATGCTTGTTTTCACCAATAATTGAAGATGATGTCATTTTCTTACTGAGCAGGGCAGATTTATATCCTCGGAACTTAAAGGAAGAATAGGATGATAGGAGGGATCCTGTTTGGGATAACTTCGACTGGAACAAATGATTGATCACAACATTTTCACTAGCTAGGAAATAAATAAATGAATACTGTAAGTGTAAGGTGACCAGATGTCCCGCTTTTGGCGGGGCAGTCCCGATTTTTGACATTTTTAAAAAGTCCCAATTTTTGGAAAGAATGCATGACAAGCTAGGGGACGGTCTATTTGGTCCATATAGACCGAATTTTTAATCAAGAGCCCCCCCCCCCCATCAATGGTGTCCCACTTTAAATCTGGTCACCGTATGTAAGTGGCATTAAAATGATTGTTTGTGTGACTGTTAAGTTAATTCCCCATCCAGATGTTTTCATCACTAAAACACTGTGAGTAAAAGACATAATTGGTGTAGCAATATCAGAAGGAGGAGTACATCCTTTTCTATGTCCCAAGGTCAATTCCCCCACTATTTATCTAATTTAGACTGCTATTGCCTTTCACTATCAGGAATGTTGATCCCCTGCTTTCCCACCTGCACCTGTATGCTACACCCTTCACGTTCTACTAGTAGAGAATATAGTTCTATTCTAGATAGCAGAACTAAAACTTAAAAGCTCATACTTCAGTGTTTTTCCTGCATCTGACCAAATCTTGACGATATGACGGGGTAACCCCCCAAACAGGCATTGTGCCGAGAGGAGTAGAGCTTTCTTAGCACACATTTTTCCCTGCGAGGCTAGCATGGAGTCACTTGCTCTGAGTTAGTACAATCAGTGGCATCACCTGGGGAGGCTCTCTCTGGTCACAGAGAATTTTTTTGTAAAAGCAGTTCACTAAAACTTTGTTTTTTGTGATGGCTGATTTAAGAGAACAGTGTGCACCTGTGAGGTTTTGTTTCCTGCTCAGGAAAAATGCCACAGATGCTGTTGTGATGTTGAACACAGCTCACATGGACAGTGCTATGGGGAAAACTCAAGTGTACGAGTGGTTTCCTCTTTTCAAAAAAGGTGAAATGTCGGTTGATGACAAACCTTTTTCTGAATGTCTGTCAACTACTCAAACAGATGAAAATATCGACGCATGGTGCATTTGGAGATCGTTCTACCAGGTCAGACTGTTAATCGAGCTTTCTACTTAAAGGTTTTGAAAAGATTGCGTAACAGTGTGAGACAAAAAAAGGCCTGATTTGTGGCAGATGGGGGACTGGTTTTGCCACCATGACTGTACACCTGCACAGGCAGCCATCTCAGTGCACCATTTTTTGGAAAAAACAGGATGCCTCTCTTGCCTTACTCACCTTACTCCCCTGACGTCACTCTGTGTGACTTCTTTGTGTGACTGTGAATGAAGAAGAACATGGAAGGACAGCGATTTTGAGTAGAAGAGGTGAAGAAACAAATGAGGGACGTGCTGTCAGCCATCCAAATAGATGAGTTGAAAAATGTTTCCAAGAATGGAATTGCAGATTTGACAAGTGTATTAAGTGTAATAGAGAGTACGTAGAAGGTGATAAGATTGCTTTGTTAAAAAAATTATATACATAGCTTTGAAAATAAAATTTTGGTTTTGGGGGGATACTCCTCCAAGATTGTTTTTGATAGCAACTCCTCATTGTCCAAAAACAAGTACTCAGGAAAATAATTCTCCATTTTCTTCCCTGTATCAAAGGAGCCTGCAGATATCCCTGGAAGGTTTTAGCTCAATGTTAAATGCAGCTGCACAGGTTTAAAGAAAGCTGAAATATTTGAGGAATTAGGTTATGCACATTTTAATAATTCTGGGATCTATTTTTAACCCTCAGGAAGAATTAGACCATACATATGAGGGTTTCTGTTTGCCCATGTAAACAGCATAATGAAAGCCATGTTGTTATGAGTTGATTTGACTCACAAAGACCTTATATGACAGAATAGGGCTGCCTATCGGGGTGACCAGACTATGTGGGAACAGACTGCCAGGGGAAAGGTCTTTTGCCTCATGGAGCCTTTGTCTGGTTTCAAAATGGGTTGTTTTGGTTAGCAACCAAATGCTTAATTGCTGCCTCACCAGAGCAACTTTGAAAGCAATCCACATGCCAGTAAAAGATCTGAAGTGAACATTTCCTGTATAACTTATATCTGGGTGTAGACAGAGTTTAAGCTTCAGTTTCAAAGTCTGTGAAATCAGGATTACAATACTGAAACTGAAGGTGACTGAAAGATTAAAATGTAAAATAATGTATATGAATCCCTTAGGGACCAAGCTTAGTCCTCTGGACTGTTATCAATGTTCAGAATCAGAGTAGATTAGTTCTTAGCTTCCTTAACTTTGCTTCATTTTGCTTGCCCTGGTGCAAAACAAGGCAGATATAGTATTCTTTTCTGTAATGCTTACAATTAGAAAGCATAAGAAAATTACCTTTGGAAAAAGGAAACCACAAGGCATGCTCCCAGGAGATATATAAGATTATGAAATATGGGATGGCTAAAGAGAACTCTATTGTATTGATTTGAGATTAGAGGGATCAGTAAAAAGAATGTCTTTTTAATATATATGTATAACCTCAGCCACTGAGTCAATTCCAATGTGTAACATTCCTATGTAGAGTTTCCAAGACTATAGATTTGTTTGGGAGAGGGCAGCCTCACCTTCTTTGTACAGACTGGTCGGTGAGTTTGAACCTAGACCCGTGGTTGGCAGCTCATTGTGCCCCTGAAGGTGTACTGATAGATGCTTAAGATGTGGGCTCTGTAGAAACTCATTGCTATGGGGGTTTCATTGCGCCAAGACTCTTTCAAAATCCAAAAATTAAAGATAGGGATAATATATGTAAATATAAATAATACATATGTAATAAGAAACAGAAATAAATAAAAATGAATCCAATGTAAGAACGATTGTAAAAATAAAAAAAGGAAAGGAAATTTGGGGAGCTGTCACTGCAGCTAACTGGAGAACGCAGAGAAAGCCCATTGCCATCTCGCAGATTCTTGTGCCTCACTGAATTAGTTACTGTCAGTACTAGCAAATTACCAGCGAATATTAATTAACTAAGATTATCAGGCACTTACTCTTGCTTTCAATGGCTCTTGACAGTGATAAAATATTTCACTTCATAAAATCCTGTCCAAAACATTCATTGTTTCTTATGTGATAGAACAAGCATGAGCAAACCAAAACACACGGGTTGAAAAAAAATGGCCCACCATCCGTTTCTGTAAATAAAAGTGTACTTGAAATAGTCACATTGGTTTGTCTTGTTCATGGGTGCTCTTGGCGTTTCAGGGTAGTGCACATGGTTAATATGCTTGGCTCCTGACCTAAAGGTTGGAGGTTTGAATCCACTTGTGAAACACCTCAGAAGGAAAGTGTGGCAATTTCCTGCCAAAGGAATTCGCCTTTGAAAACTCTGGAGCACAGTTCTGCCCTGCCGTCCTCAGGGTCACTGTGTGTGGGATGCGTTGTGAAGTGGGTATTGCACTGCACCTGGAAAATCACTGCAAGAGACCCACAGCACCAAAGCTTAAGCGCTCTATTCTGAGGCCCTTGATCAAGAAAGCTTGCTCTCTCTGCTAATGGCCTATAAATATTGAATGGCACATTTTAAACTTTTTGCTCTTGCTCTGGTGCACCTACATCCTAAAGTATTTAGATTAAAATGGAATTTATTTAGTCTTGTAACTGGTTGACAAGCACACATAAAAGAATGATTTTAGCACCTAGGGTTTATGATGGTTAAATTTTGTCCCCTAAAGAGATATGTTGAATTCCTAACCCCTCGGAACCATGAATGAGACCTTGTTCAGAAATAAAGACTTTAAAGACATTATCAGGTTAACATGCGGTCAGCTTGGTCCTTATGAAGAAGAAAAGATCCATAGAAACAGGGAGATGGAGGAAGGATGTCACGTGATGCAGCAGTTGCAAGTGGAAACTCAGCGGGCCAGCTCTACCCTGTCCTAGAGGGTTGCTTTAAGTCGGCATATACTCAATGGCAGAGATATTTTTGAGTTTTACAGTCTATGGAGCCTGGTGGCACTGCCCAGTAAGCATTGCTAACAGAAAGGTCTGGTAGTTCAAACCCAACAACTACCCCTTCCCAGAAAAAAATGCGGCTCTCTGCTCCTGTCAAGAATCACAGCCTCAGACACGCTGTCGGGGTCACGATGCGCTGGAACGGACTGTGTCTGTAAGCTCCATTCCCATGCTAGATGTGCATGTATGTTCTGTCACCAAGAAACACAAATACGATGAAAAAGGTTTGCTTAAAATTTTAGCACACATCAGGCCTTCCTAGAATAGTGTGATTTAGTGTATGCTCTTTATATCACCGAGTTCTAAACCTACAGCTAGCCAAAAGCAAGTTAAACTGAAAAACGGGATGATCGTAATGACAGGTATCACAGCAGGGATCCTGTTGTTGTTCGACATCCTTGGGTTGGTTCCAGTGCATCAAGTCCCTGTGTGCACGAGAGGTGACATGGCCTGGTGGCGGGCCAAACTCCCAACTAGTCTGTTGGAGCAAATTGCAGCAGCCACCTCGCGCAGGGCCTTCCCCTGTTTTGCTGCCCCTCCACTTTATCAAACCCGATGTCCTTCTCCAGCGCCTGGTCTCTCCTGACAGCATGTCCACAGTACATGAGACAAATGCAGGCAACCTTGTGTCGAAGGGGTATTCTGGCTGCATTTCTCCCAAGACACATCTGGTTGTTCTTTTGGCCGTCTACAACGTTTTCAATATTCTTGAATAACCGTGACTCAGATTCATCGATTTTCCTTTGTTCTCCATTTTTCAGTGTCCAGCTTTCATATCATACGAGGTGATGGGAAATACCCTGGCTTGGGTCACGCTCCCCTTAGGCCTCAAAGGACCATCCTCACTTCTCACCACTTGAAAGAGGCCTTTTATCTAATGCACCTTCTCCTTTGAGCTCTCAACAGCTGCTTCCGTGAGCATTAATTGTGAATTCAGACAAGATGAAATCCTTGACAATTTCATTTTTTCTTGATTTATCATGATATCACCTATTAGTTCAGTTATGCAAATTTTGGTTTTCTTTACAGTGAGTTGTAGCCCATACCGAAGGCTGCAACCCTTGATCTTCATCAGTAAGAGCTTCCAGTCCCCCTCACTTTCAGCAAGCAAATTTATGTCATCTGCATATCTCAGATTGTTAATAAACTTTCCTCCGATCCTGATACCACATTTTTCTTCATATAACCCAGCCTCTCAGATTATTTTCTCAATAGTTATGTATAGTCAATGGTAATGGAATATGTAAGTAGAATTTGTTGTAGTTTAAGACGTAGAAATTGGGTAAAACCTACAGCTTAAGGAGAAGCGCTATAAAGTTCAAATACTTAAAAATTAGAAGGAAATTAGCTCCAAGGATAAACAGTATTCATTTTCCAGTTATTCCTAAAATAATGTTATTTTAATTTCAAACCTTTGCCATTTTTAGAATTCACAAAAACTTCAAGTTTGAAGAGGCTAGCAGATTAATCTCCCATGAACAGAAATATATGGTAACTGTGCTGCCATGACTCAAGGCAAATGTATTCCTCAAAATAGAAGTCTGCTGTGAATGTCTTACTTCTAGCTCAAAGGCATCCAGCTACTTCATGCAAGGCTATCACATGATCCTTTTGCTAGGAGAAGATAAATGACTCTTTCCCACTTGGAGCAGCTTAAAGCACACACGATGGTATGCCTAGAAAGGTTATTGTAAAAATGTGAATCACTTCAGAAAGGCGACTGATGAATAATCCACTGGAGGAGATAGCATGACATAGCTGTATATATCTATATGCACATAAATATTTATATGATTGAGGTACAAAAAGTTCATCAAAATGGAATTCAAGATAATGGTATTTTTAACAAATGTTTTGAAATATACTTGTGAAATACAATTAGGTGTATTGTGTTTATACATTTACATGTGCATAATATAAAAGTAGATTTCAATTATATATACATGTAGTGCCGTGTGGTTTAGGAGCTATCCGCTCTGTTCTGATCCATAGTGACCCTAAGTGTAGAGGAGAAAAAGCACTGCCTGGTCCAGCACTGTCCTCACCATCGCTCCTATGTTTGAGCCCATTGCTGCAGGCAGGCACCGCGTCACCCATTTTATGGAGGGTAGAGTTCTATATACAGTGTAGAAGTGTAACACGTGCAGCCTTTATAGATGTACATATATGTATTATACCTGTGCATATGGATATGTATACACTAAGATTCACTAAGTGGGAGAATATTTATTTACATACAAATGTATAAAACGAATAAACAATAAATGTATAGTCTATCTTTATAGAGAGAGCCCTAATATTTCATAACAGAAAGATACATATTCATTAAATACCACTCTTAGTTGTGCACTGGAGTCATCTTAAATAGTGAAATTCACCCTGCTGTAGCCTAAATAACTTTAGAAATCATATTCATCTTCATTAGTCTTTGTCGGAAAGCGTCTTTAATATTCAAACCACTGAAGTGGTAAAGGTGTTTTCAATTCTACCTGCTAAAAGCTTAGTTAAATTATGTTTCTACAGGGCTCCAAATTAAATCGTAACCAATAGATACTGTGGCAAGATCTGTTCGTTATGATTCCGTGCATTAGAGTGCAAACTAGATTTCAATTATCTTTTAGCTAGTAGCATATATTACAGGACCATGAATGTTCAGACGGAGAAAGAAGAAATATGTGGCATTGTGACAAGTATAGGGGACACAGGAAAAACTTACTTTTCATTACAGATAGAAGATTCTGTGAAAGGGAGTCTTTATTTTTTTCAATTGCTCCAACAACTTCATACATTACCTATAACGAAAGGGAAGAGCATAATTACTAATGATTAAACATGACCGTGAAAATACGTTCCTTTAAAGAAGACTTTGACTCAGCCGAAGCTCTAAATCATTCATAAAAGAAGCATCTCTAGGTTTCAGAGTTCTTATTATGTGCGAGTTCAAAGCTTCTCAGCACTGTAGTCTCATTTACATATTAAACAAGAGACACCTCTGCTGTTTTCATTTGTGGGGCCCTCCTCTGACCCGTGAGCTAAAGTGAAAATGATGATGACTCAAATCCTTGACAACCTCAACCTTTCTTCATTGATCCTGATGTTTCCCATTGGTTTCAGTTGTGAGGAGTTGAGGATTTGGGTCATCTTTACATTGAGTCGTAATCCCTATTGAAGACTGAAATCTTTGGTCTTCATCAGCAAGTGCTTCAAGTCCTCCTCATTTTCAGCAAGCAAGGTTGTATTATCTGTATATTGAAGGTTGTTAATCTTTCTTCCAACCCTGATGCCACAGTTTTCTTCATAACTCAGTCACTCTGATGATTTCTCAGCACACAAATTGAATAAATATGGTGAGAGGCCACAGCATTGACACATGTAACGAGTGACAGTTTTGGAAATCCACGATTCTAATCTGTCCTTCAAGGTCAGTATGAGTCAGAATCCACTCCATAGTGGTGAGTTACATACCTAAAACTGTGACCTTCTTTAGGAAGATGGGGTCTTTCTTTAACGACATTATCTGCTAAATTAAGGAAGTCACAATGGAGGAGGGTGGACTCCAATATTAATCTTTCACTGTTGTCTTTTCACAGAGCAGAACACACACGGGAACCATTTCTCACACAGGGCAAACACAGTGTGGGAAGGTCTACAAGCCAAGGAATGTTCTGGTCTGTTGTTACTGGCACCCAGCAGGTGAGTCAGTGGGAACTTTTGTTTTTTGACAACCTGGCTGAGGCAAGATTCTCCCAGCCCTCATCAGTCCCATGATGTGACCGGACACATTGTAATCAGCTCCATAAAGGGATCTGCCATGGACAGTCAATCTAGTGTATAAAGTTTAAGGTAGACTCCATCCTCCTTACTCAGGTCACAGCTCTGGTGAAGTTGAATGAATGTTTCCTCAGGGCGTGGCCTACTTCCTATATAAGTACGGGTAGGTGCTATGAAAAAGCTCACTTGCTTTTTCACTGTGTTGGGATTCTGGGCCTTTCTCATTGATCTCTGGTACTGTGGAACTGAATCAACAGCTTGTCCTACTGTCGGCCCACTCCAAAAACCAACAGTGGCTTGCTCTCTGATCTGCTCTCTAGCCCTCTGACCCCGTAGTCATCGATCTGTGGTATTCCTGCCCATCTTGGGTTCATTCACTTTCAGAACTACAAAAATCAAGGGACCTTCCAGTTTAACACTCAGACCATGGATTTAGAACCTGTCTGGACAGTGAGTTGATTTGATATAAATTTCTACCTTATGTTACCATCCGTTTGACCTACATTCACTAAGAGGCTAGTGGTACACAGCTGCTACACTGTCCCACTGCTCCCTCCATCGCTGAATGTCTCCATCCCAAACTTGAAACTCTTTTGACCAACAAACTGGTGGGAGGAGAATGGAACTTACCCTCTATCCCAGCCCTATTTCACACCATTCACCTCCCCAGGGGTGTGTCCAGACCAGTCCTAGGGGCAGCAGATAGGGGCAAGGAGAGCCCAGCCCCAATCCCAGAATGGTTCCAAACTCCCTGACCCCTTGAAGTTGTTACCCACCCCATTCCCATTATTCTGACCCCTTCTCATCCATCCCCTGCTTGGCTTCTCTGCATGTGGTCATCTGCTGTGGCCC